AAAAAGGAAGAGGGCGCTCTTTTCTACCTGTAGAAATTTTTTGATTTACGAAAATTACGTTTAAATTGGGCCTTTCGATCACTTTTTATTATCGAAATTGCCAAAAACTGGCCGAGAAATGACCATTTTTTGGAAAATTACTCAAAATCCGCATGCTAATTGCGAAAACATAGCCAAAAACGAGTACCAGCGTTTTCCAAAAATCAGTTTTTTAGCGATAACTTTTTGGTTTTACAATATTTTGCTTAGAAAATTGGCTGCACATAGTTTTTATCGGTCCCCATCACTGGTAAAAATTTGGCCCCGATCCGATAGAAGACGGCCAAATGCCGAGGGGGGGTTTTTTTTGGGACACCCTGTATAAGGTACCGCGACACTTGCGGCGCGACACTTGCGGCTGCGACACTTGCGGCGCGACACTTGCGGCGCGACATTTGCGGCGCGACACTTGCGCCCGACACTTGCGGCGCGACCTTGCGGTTATTTAGTATAAACTATATAAAAATAGTTGAAGGTGTTATTTGATAAGTTGCATCCGAATTTGGTATTTAAAAATTATAAAAAGTCGGATTTGCGACCGAAGTCACTCAATTTGGAGAGAAAGTGGCCGCTATTTCCTCCGCTCTGCGACTAAAAAAAGGCTTCGTGCCACCGGGGGCCTAGTCGCTTCGGATGGGTGCGAGCTCGTACAGGGTTTTTAAATCGGGGCGCCCGAGGAGCGCGAAGCGCCCAGGCGCCCCGATTTAGAAAGAGTGGAGCGGCAGCCCATCCGAAGCGACGGCCCACCTTGCCTGACGCCCTCAGGGGGGTTCCGCCTGCGGGTCGGTTAAATTGCTAATTTTGAACAGAAATACAACAATTACAAACAAAATCCGTGAAGAAATGCTAAATTTACAACATTTAAAAATACTAAATGCTGCGCCGCAAGTGTCGGGCGCAAGTGTCGCGCCGCAAGTGTCGCGCCGCAAATGACCGCGCCGCAAGTGTCGGCCGCAAGTGTCGCGCCGCAAATGTCGCGCCGCAAGTGTCGGGGAGCCCTGTATAAGCTATTACTTGATGATTACTTCACCACTATGGCTGAAACTTGGGAAGCATGCCAATTGGAGCTCCTTGCACAACTGCTCCCATTTGAGGTCGTTCAGACATCAGAGAGCCGAGATATAGTCGCTGGTTCCTATTAGATGAGCTGAGATTCAAAGGCCCAAAAAAATTTTGAAATGTCATAATCCCGAAATGAAGGTTGCCGAATTATCAAACGTCAAAAATTCATGTTCATTCATTCAGTTTCCAGTATCAGAACGTCGACATTCCTTAATGTCGAAACTTCGCAATTTCGACATTCTGAATAACGATATTCAGAATACGAAGCGCCGTAATACCGAACTGCCAGAGCGGCTAAATCTCATAATGTCGGGATTTTACTACTAACTCAAACCCCGGAGGCAAAAATTCGCAACGTCGAAATCTCCTAGTGTCGAATTTAAGAAAGCGAGATTTTAAAAGTCACGCCAAGATTTTATGGAAAAACCATAATATCGACAAGAAAAAAGATCGAAACTCCAAAACTTCAAAACTTCAAAATGACAAAATGTCAAAAAAAAAACCGAAAGTGCGGAGTGGCTAGGTATGCTCGGCCCACTGGCACGCCTCCCTTAATCCCAAAATCCCGCTATCAAGCTTTGAAAACGACCCCTAAATAACCCGCCAGGCATTGTTTACACCCCGCAGGCGGTCAGCTGCATTTTGTAGGTTTCGCTCACTCCATTTTTATAGCTGTGTGCGTTGGCAAAAAAGCGAGTGGCCAAAATCTCCAGGCGGGATTAGCCGCAGCGGGTGACTGGCCCCTTTTTGTTGACGTTCCAGTCGTTCTTTGCCGACACTGGGGTTACTGTATCCCTCCAGAAAAAAGGGCATCAGCTGAATTCCCCGGATTTGTTGATTTTTCAAGGGATTCACCGGTTTTAAAAATACAACAAGATGCCCCTGGAGATTATGGTAAAACTCTGAGGCCTACCCGAAAACACCTGCTCCAAAACTGCCCGGATTTTTCGGAGAAAAACAACATTTGTAAGCAGGGACGTAGCGTAATACAAGCCACGCTGGCCCGGGGTCCCCCCCCCCCAAAATCGGCCGGGGCCCGAAAAGTTCATAAGGGATTTATGATTTTGTGGTTCCTAATGATTTTTCTTTCTCAAAAATTTTTCGGTCTGCGCGATTTATTAGGCTTTTTAAGACTATTTTTAATGCTCTGCAGCCTATTTTTCCCAAATTTTTCGCTAATGTACAATTTTGTGAGAAAAAAATTTTCGGGCCCCCGAAATTTTTTTCTGGCTACGCCCCTGTTTATAAGCATTTCTGAAAATCGGAAGGACGATCGTTAGAATGGGAACACAAATTCAGAGTCCGGCTAGACTAATTGGGTGAAATGAAAAACCGAAGTTCCGTGAAAATGCTGATATTGACGCCTTGAGGTAAAAACCGGAAATTAAAGGAGCTGGAAAGTCCAAAAATCTACCTCTTCCATGGACAAGGTCTCGACAGCTACGCGAGACCAATACTACCAAAATGCCGACAAGCAAAAATGCCGACAAGAAAATATACCGACAAACCAAAAAATTGGACTTGGAGAGAGGTCGAATATAGTCAAAGAGAAAGAGCTTTCGGATGTAGAAATCTCGAATTTAGATGGGCCAACAATTGACAAATCCCGACCGCTCTGAAATGCCGACATGCAATATATCATCCAGCACAATATCGACAAGCTGTAAACGAAGAAATGTCTAAAAATACGTCCGGACAGAAACAGAAGGCCACAAACAAGCGAGAATACCGACAGTCAAAACTTTGGCGTAACAAAATGCCGATACGCTAAACACTCAGGTTCGGAGAAAGATCGAATACCCTCAGAGAGCAAATGTCTTCGGATGTCGAGATAGAGAAGGTTAATTAGCCGAGAAAACAAAAATGCCGACAAGGAAACGCCGGCAAGTCAAAATGCCGACAAGCCAAGCTGAATCAGACAGAAATGACTTCCGCGCGCCAAGGTATTGAATGCAAATGAACCGGTAGGTTGCCAAAATACCGACAATTGCAATACTCACAGGCTAAAATGCCGACATAGAAAACGTCGACAAATGGTGATTAAGACAGCTTTTATACTCTAGAAACTCCGTATATCGTTAAGGATTTTTAGGACCGCGTTAAAAATAATTTCCACAATCTCACGCTACCCCCCTCCCCCATTTGCAGTCAATGAAATGAGCGTAGTCACTATAATCCCTCAGTTTTCACAGGGCCGACTCCCAAAAAAAAAGAAAAAAACGAACAATCAAAGGGAATTTTTGGGTGCATCAGCTACATGACCCTGCAAAAAAGGAACACCCCACAACGCCCCGGAGTGAAGGCGTAAGCTGGAGTGGAGCGGAAATTAAAAATTCGCCTGCACACGTTCGCGTAGCCGGATGATCGGCTTCTTAAGGACTGGAAGAGATGAGAAACGGATTTATAGACCATCGGTGACAAAATGTGACCAAGGAAAAAAACCGTGAGAATCCCCGCTGAGCTGGCGAAAATGAGTGAAAAAGCGGATTTTCAAAAAAAGCCTAAACGGGGCTTCCGGTTGGTCAGGGTATTTTGGCCACAAGGAGGGGAATTTTTGAAAATAGCTTAGAAAAAGCAGATAGGCGAAATATGAGATTCCGCGATGTTGGAATTTGTGAATCGAATTCAAGGGATTGGGAAGGCATGAACACAAATTTCTGTAGAAGAGGATGGTAAAATTTGAACAAACGATTTTAAAAGCGCTCTTTCTATCTATCCTTTTCCCTCTCTTGCTCTCTTTCTATAGCTCCATCTCTGCCTTTCTCGCTGTCACTTTTTTCCCTCTCTCTCCATCTCGCTCTCTCCCTGTCTCACTCTCTCCCGGTCTCACTCTCTTGCTCGCTCTGGCTCTCTGTCTCTCTCATCTCTCTCCCTTCCTCTCCCTCTCTATAACTCTCTCCTCTCTCTCTCGCTCTCTGCTCTCTTTCACTCTTTCACTCTTTCACTCACTCTCTCTCTCTCTCTCTCTCTCTCTCTCTATCGCGCGCTCTCTCTCTTTCTGCCGCGCTCGTGATCTCTCGCACTGCGTCTGGCGCTCACTTCCTCTCTCGCTATCTCTCCATCTCTCATCTCTTTCTCTCCCCAAGAATCTCTGCTACCTTTTCCAGGTCGTTAAAATGCCGATGGATTTAAACTAGAGCCTGACCTTACCCGTCCCTTTAGAGCTTTCATTCATCGTTTCCAACGCCCGTACTAGGCCCCAGTACTCAAAAATATTTTTATTTGTTCGCCCCCGTGCTTTCAAAGGTCAAACTTCTGTTGGCAGCCAATGCTAGCTACCTGGCAATGCTGTATTAGCTGGTTGATTTCTGAGCCCTTCGTCACGTGCTTCTTGCCGTCTTTTGAGATCAAACCCGTTGGCTGGGCTTGAGAGAGTCTGAGAGCAGGTGAATTTGGACTGCTGACAACTCTAAAACTTCAATGCCCACATAGGCCGGTATTTACGGGGCCGGGTACAAGTAGTCTGCGACTACCCAACACTCTTTCTAATTTTTCAATTTTAAGGGTTTTAAAGGAAGTAAATAGCGTCTGGAAACGACCCCTCGTTTGATTAGGTCTTGCCAGCGAGAAGATATGCCAAAACGCTCCTCCATTATCGTTCTTAAATTAGTTAGGTGCTTGCCATAAGCGTAATTAGTTATTTCGTGTATCTGTCGAGGTCCAGTAGATCCGGAGGGTCGAGTTTTGTGCTTTTTGCTTCAGAATTTTGTTTTTAATATCGATCACTTTAAAGGACCGGGAAGCGCAAAACTCGACACCACCCTTTGGCTAGGTCTCGATAGCTCCCTCACTTTTAAATGACGTATCCTTTCGTGCTGCGTAGCTGTCGAGACCTAGTCTAGAGAAAGGGTCGATTCTCGTGCTAAAGGATCCCTTGAACCCTTTTCCGATTCCAGATGATGTACGTACAAGTTGGGGACCTCGAGATCTTCGTGACAATCTATGTGAATTCAACGTTCGTCCGGATGTCCCCCTTCAAGGGTCTCCATTACGCGATCTGGGGCTTTGAGATGAGCATCGTCTTGCTTAGCCTTGTTATACAGGTAAGCAATTTTCTCTATTAACTGTTTTTCCGATTTTCCGAGGCCAAAAGACCTACCCATTAAACGTCCTCGAGTAACTTTTATCAGTGCGGGTCTTTGAATGTTTCTAAAAATGGTACAAGAAATCGTGTAATAGTACAACTAATACCTTGACACCATTAAAGACCGTTGGAAAGATGGCCGGGCGTCCCCAGGGGTTAGGGACCGACGGGGCGATACCATGCACGCTTTCCATCGCGTAAGGGCCCCCAAAACCCCCGACTGGGTTTCAAGAAAACAGATTTATAGCCATAACTTTTTTGATTGACTAGATTTTTGGCTGGAAACTTCCATAAAAATAGTTTTTAGCCATCCCCATCGTTGGTAATAATTTGAGGCTGCTGGGTTAGAAGACAGCCATGTTCTGAGCGGAAAGAGGTTTTTGGGACGCTCTTTAGTTGAAAAATCGTCAGTAAAGGCATAAAACACTCCAGGAAATTTGGGGAGTACTTTGCTTTCTTTTAGCAAGCTTTTCTAGAGCATTTTTCGTTATTATTATTTATGAATAGCCTTATTTTCAATTGTTGCCCAGTAAAGCGCACCAATTCACACCTAGGGTATTTGGGGCTCCTCCGCCGCCCCCACCCACTCGACCCCTTTGGTGTGGGGGTACGCGTTGGACTGCGGAGCGGACCATCCCTGGTTCGACCCCCGCCCGGTGCATTCTTTCTTGCTTTTTGACCAATCCCATCTTTCCAGAGGCCTTTAATAAATTATTTTTTTAGTTAATGGTGACGATATCGATCATCCGATCACGCCATTTCCATTTCAACATGCGGCTCCTTTTCGCCGTTTTTTCCTCTTTAGCCATTTCACTCATCGGCAGTCGCGTTCCGATATTTCTATTTCAATTGGATATTTTATCCATAGGTAAGTGAAAAATTTGGATCTAAAGGGGCTAGAAAACGTGAAACTGGACCCTCGTGTCGACTAGTTCGCGCTATGAACCAGTCCAAAACAAAAATTGTTCAGAGTTTTGCTTTGCCCTCCGCAGGCGAATCGCTAAATCAAATTTTTCAGAAACAGACAAAGCCATCCTGATCGCTGCCTCGTTCCTACGATTGCAGGGCTTAGTTTATGAGGTAATTAACTTAATATCCATCTTAATTCAATGGTTTTTGAGATATTTTTTGCTACTGGCATCTTCATGGAACGGGTCGTGGCTTCAAAGCTACTTGAAAAATATGACAAACGGAATTATCCGTTCGTTGGCGCATACCTATTAACTTTTAACGTATCGGCTTCCCTATCTGGAGCTTTTACGATGATGCGATGTGAGTTCGTTTACTTAATTTCTTAAATTAAAAAATTAATTTAGTTAAATTTTGTCTAAATCCTTTTAAATTCAATCTAAAAGATTACTTTGCATTATTCCGGTCTAATTTTTTACGTTTATTTGAAATTTAAAGTTATGATGATATGCGTTTTCTTTTCCTTTAATCAAACCTGCAGAAGATCTGTTTTATTTTATTTTAGTGAATTTTTAATTTTGTTTCATTTAATTCAATTTAACTCTTTTTTTTATTTTTCTGTAATTGAATGCCTTCCAGCTTCATTAAACAACGCTATCAGGGTTCATCAAGTAAAACCTCGCCCAAAATCTATAAAAGTTCCGTTCCAGACCTCTACACTGATTACTATCGCATGTTGCTCTTCACATTTCCCATGATGATCCTGATGACCGCTATTGCATTTACGGTAAGCTAAAAAATCATAGATTTTAGTGATACATTCCATCATTAAATTTTTTAAGCAATCTTATACCTTGCCTAGGGTATAAACCTATTGTATTCGTGGAACAAGCGGGAGCTGGCATCTCTAACCGAGTGGACGGAGCATGGAAGGAAAATGAGCGACGGGAGCTATTTGAATAAGAGGTTCCAGTTAACGGAAAATGTGGAGTTGCTTAAGGTAAGTAGGTGTAAAACGGACAATAAGAATTGTTTGTTATCGATTTGATCGATTCGATCGATCGATCATTTTTTAAAAACGCTAGAAAACGGCAGAATTGACCTCGAGAACCTGCTCGGTCTCGACAGCTACACGGCACTCTAAAATACGCATGCAACGATATTGTTTTAACTCGTTTATGGAGGTGCGGCCTTAAGGAAGGCGTCAGGCGTAGTTATGCGTATCTATGCGTAGCTACACGCCTAACCGTCGGGACCTAGCCGACTGGGTCGATTCGAGCACTTCTTATTTCCTTTAAAATCTGGCTTCCTCCTCCCGGTTAAATCCAGGATATTTATCATGTAGCAACACCTATTTGTCGCAGCTATCCGACTGCGCTGGAATTCCAAGCCCCCTTAAGACCCTTTTTTCTGATTCCGTTCGAAGTAAGGAATTATCAAATCCTTGGACGTTCAGCTCCGGTCTTAAAAATTGCCGTTAAACCGCGAAGCGTTGGTAGTATCTAATCGAAAATTTTCCAGATCATCTACGTTCTCTACTGCGTCAACGGGGCGTGCAACGTAGGAGTTGCCATTTTCGGAGGAGTCGCGATGATTTTGCTTGACCAACAGGCAGAAACCACTCAACTTCTGTTGTCCCTCCTCGACCTCGTCGTCGTTTTGTAAGTATTCGTAGACGATCGGAATTTTTAGGGATTTTGTAAACAGTCATAGCCGCTACGGTACTATGACTATGATACCAGAACTACGATTTCTAATGGCAAGCTAGCCGAGAAATCTTAGGAAAGAAACAATGACGGTTTTTCGTTTCAGCATCATCTTGATCCACCAATATTTTATTCTACGCCAGATCGTGCCGTATCGACGAGACTTTTTTGAGCTTTGGAGGCAGATGAGGTGTAAGGTAGGCGAGAGAGAAGAGAGAGAAATCGAGAGAGACAGAGATGGAGAGGGAGAGAGATAGGGGGAGAGAGAGCGAGAGAGAGAGACAGATTGAAACAGGGAGACAGAGTGAGACGGCGAAACAGCGAGAGAGCCAGAAAGAGAGAGAGTGAGAGAGAGAGAGCGAGAGAGTGAGAAAGGGGGAGAGAGAGCGAGAGAGAGAAAAGGGAGAGATAAAGAGCAAGAATATAATGCATTTTAAACCCTTCGTTTCAGGCAGTAGCTGAACGTCAAGGCCCCCAAATGGACGAACTGCGCATCGACCGCCAGATGCAGAATTCACTCTATTTTTCGTACTACAAAGCCGCGTGGGCTTGACTACTTGTTTTTGTGTGTATTCGGGTCTGTTTTCCGTTGCCAGGGCAGGGCAAAAAATACGCAATAAAGTTTCGCTTCTCGTCTTTACCCTCGAGACTATGCAAAACCTCGGTCCGGCAGGTGAGAGTGGAAAGGTCGTTTGCAGGGCTTCAAGCTGGCATGTGGCATGCAAAATAGGAGGTAATGATTTGAAATTTGTGCTTTTCAAAGATCGCTTAATTTTCACCTCGATAGAACTCTTAAGACACACGAAAAAAACCTGGAAATTAGAAACTTCACTTAGAGGAACGTGAAACGTTTTATATAATGAATTTTAAGGACTAAATTTTTTTGTAAATTGATACGCGTTTTTAGTCCGATTTCCAATATTCAATCATATTTAATAAACTGTATTCTACATATTTTCTCTTATTATTTTTTTTGATGGATTAGAGGTGGTGTTGGTTGGTGTTTTGGCGGGCACTGGTGACCTACTTTTTGAGGGTCGTGTGGCATTGCCTAGGGCAAATGGAGGATGCCAATCTAGCCACGTCATGCTCCGACAATAAATATAGCAATGAATGCTGCGAATTGTAAGAATTATTGCAGAAGGTTAGAGCTAAAGAAATTCCACACCGTAAGAAAATAGACAGTTCCCAATACAAGGTTTCAACCAGATACTGCCAGATTACGTGAAAAATCGATAAAAAACTCAGAAATGCTTTGAAAATATAAAACACGGTAGAAAGCGAAGATGCAAGCGTTTTTAGCTTTAGATTCGAAGCTCCGAGAATCGCACTTGGTATTGAAAGGGTCAGAAGGCTACATTACATGGCATTTTTACTAAGGAAACATTAGTACATCACCAGCTTTACTAGATTTAGATCGCGATTGTACTTGATACCGATTTCATAGATTCGCGAACGTATATTAAATACAAAAGTTGTTCCAAAAAACGTCAATGTGGGTCTTACCGGAAATCACTCGACTTTCAACGGAACTTTTATATATATACAACGTGCATCTTCAGTTTCGCAATATCGTAATTAATCGATTTTAGTATTTTTTTTGTTTAAATGGCTGAATTTCGGATTCTAAATTTAGATTTCAATTCACGCACTAAAAAACACGCAATCACATCGATTCAAGCACAACGTACTCAAACCCGAGATAGCCTCATTTTAAAATGAAATTCCGGGTCGTAAAACCCCACATTTCGAACATAAATTAAGTTTTATACTATTTTAACTATAACCACGATTAAATATAAAAATTTTACAGGATCCAGAATGGGGAATTGAAACGCGACAGATGTTTCTCTGTCCCAATATGCTTTTACGGGCTGGGGAGCGAATTCCGGGGGCTATTAATGCGCCATATGGCCATAGGGGGGACCTATGCGGTATAGTAGCGTCCGATACCTATCGTATTAAGTTAGATCCTCCATTTTAAACTCAAAACTATAAATTTTCGAGCGGTTTGGAGGTGGATGGGGGTAGAGACAGGGCATCCAGAGAGTCCCCAGACGGCTATGGCAGCCCCGGGTGTGCGCTCTTTCGCGGCTCCCTGGTCCCGATCGACCGGGCCCCCGCCTGGGCCGTCTCGAGGTTGTATTTACGCAACATTCCACCGAACAGTATCGCTTCTGGCCTTTGGCTAAGATCAATGTGTAGTATCTGTTCTTATCGGCTTAATCTCCGGTACGTGTTCTATTGAACACATCGAGATTAACATATTTTTGGAAATGGTACGGTTCGCAGAAGCTTGCTTCTCGCCGTACAGCGTCGGCCCGGTATTGCACCTACCGCCGGGAACGGCGCACACCCCGAGAGGGGTGAACTATATTTGAAAAAGAAAGAGCGCAAAAAGTTACGCTAGATATGTGTTTTTAGTAAAATTCGATACTATAAGGTATATGTGATAAAACCTAGGTTGAAGGTCCGGAGGGGGTACTGGGGTTCTGGGTGGTGTCAGGCGATTCCCAGATATCTGAGAGAGTGAGAAGACCACCGACAGAGCAAGAGACCGCCCAATACCTGAACCAAAAGAAGGACGGTGACTTCTACACAAACTCTTCGGATGCCAAGAACGTATGGTCACGACTTCGGCTTGCTACGGGACGACTCCGCGACTCCGACAAGCTCGACATCGAATGGAGATGGGATGAAGATGAAGGACGGGTTCGACTACACGTTCAAGGCGAGGGCGTCAACAAGAAGAACTGTGAGCGAGCCCTCAAGAAGGCCGCCCAAGAAGCACAACTCGCCAGCCTGACTGCAAAGAAGAGCCAAGGCAAGACGTATCAAGTGATGAGCCGCCAACCAACGTCCAACTACTTCATGCGAGACGGACGGTTCCTACGCTTCGCCGACTGGCGGTTCGTCCACCGAGCTCGCCTCGACCTCCTCGCGCTCAACGGCTGCAACCGATCCAGAGGACACGTCGACAAGCGCTGCCGGAAGTGTGGCTACGCTCTGGAAAGCGTAGCTCACACCCTCAACCACTGCCACGCCCACTCACACGCCATCCAACTTCGCCACAACGCCGTGCTGGATCGACTGATGAACGCCTACAAGCCGCTCGACGACGACAAGATCTACGTCAACCAGAAGATCCCCGGCACAGATGGACAACTACGGCCCGATTACACCATCATCAACGACTGCCTCAAGACCATCACCATCATCGATGTGACGATGCCGTTCGAGAATGGGGATGTGTCGATCTTCGAAGATGCACGCCGTGAGAAGGAGCGCAAGTACCTGCCCATCCTCGACAAGTACTCCACCGACGGCTACGACACGTTCCTGGGCGCATGGATGGTCGGACCACTCGGAGGATGGGACGCCGCGAACAACGACATCCAACGAAGGCTGAAGATCTCCGTCAAGTATGGCCAGCTGATGCGGCTTCTGATGGTCGCCGACTCGATTCGCTGGAGCAGGGACATCTACGTGGAACATGTGACGGGCCAACGCCAATACAAGCTCGACGACCCCCAATAAAGTACCAAAGCGATACTCATTTTCTATCACTGTGAATTGTAATGCTCTTAATGTGCCCCCAACTCATTCTGATATCTCACAACCTGTTTCGAATCTCTAATTTTTCACTTCTCAAATTTGATTGTAACTCTCCCAAATTGACGCTTAACCGTCAATCCTGTATGCATTTTAACCGCGTGTGACTTGTGTATTTCCGGCCCTCGGGCCGAGCATGTACTGAATAAAATTAATCTGTTCTTATCGGCTTAATCTCCGGTACGTGTTCTATTGAACACATCGAGATTAACATATTTTTGGAAATGGTACGGTTCGCAGAAGCTTGCTTCTCGCCGTACAGCGTCGGCCCGGTATTGCACCTACCGCCGGGAACGGCGCACACCCCGAGAGGGGTGAACTATATTTGAAAAAGAAAGAGCGCAAAAAGTTACGCTAGATATGTGTTTTTGGTATTGCACCTACCACTCTGCAATGCGCCATCACCCCAAGAATTGACATGAACCCCGTCCCGGGTAAATACATTCCGCCCCCGTGTCACGGGCTCCCGGAATTTCCATCTCAAATCCCACGTTGTGCTCTATGCCCACCCTTACAACTCTACAATCACTTGTGATATAAGAGTTTGTCATTCACCCCCAAAATTGACTGTAATTCCCCCAAATTGGCGCTTACCCGTCAATCATGTATTCCCTTTTAATCGCGCATATGACTACTGTATTTCCGGCCCTCGGGCCGAGCATGTACTGATAAATTTAAATCTGTTCTTATCGGCTTAATCTCCGGTACGTGTTCTATTGAACACATCGAGATTAACATATTTTTGGAAATGGTACGGTTCGCAGAAGCTTGCTTCTCGCCGTACAGCGTCGGCCCGGTATTGCACCTACCGCCGGGAACGGCGCACACCCCGAGAGGGGTGAACTATATTTGAAAAAGAAAGAGCGCAAAAAGTTACGCTAGATATGTGTTTTTAGTAAAATTCGATACTATAAGGTATATGTGATAAAACCTAGGTTGAAGGTCCGGAGGGGGTACTGGGGTTCTGGGTGGTGTCAGGCGATTCCCAGATATCCGCTGTATTACTCAACATAAACAACGCTGTAAAATATTCCAAAATGTAATCCAGATTTATATTTTTTATAATTGTTAATATTCCTAAAGGTTTTGTTTAGCCTCACACATCAAAGCCCAGCTGCTATCGTTAGACGGGCCCTACCTCCTAATTAAGCATGATTGTGCTGGGATACCATTTCCTACGTACTGTATCATAGTTCGTAGTTTGGTGATGTAAAAGCTACATAATATTTATATTTTGATAGCTTACTAGATACCCTGACTAGGGAATGTTTTCGGGCGGACATCGGACCCAGCTATGTGAGTATGTGCATCTTGTAGAGCTCGACGAGACGAATCGTTTGATGT